ATCTAGTAAAGTCAGTTGAATCTGACTAGTTTGAATTTTAACCTCAGAGCCTAATTTAAAACTTAACTTTTCTGCTTCTACTTGTGCTGCTTAGGCCCTCCTAGGACCTTGGAGTGTGGAAAGGGTTGAATCTAGTCATTCACTCTGCTAACTCCAGTGAACCAAGAGTGATTTGCTCTTTCATTTATATTTCAGTTTTCATCCTGGGTGTTGATGCCTAGAAGAGAAATGGAAAGGGGAAAAAGGCTCTCTTAAGTGACACTTTTTTTTTTTTCATTCTGCTTTTCTGCCTAGCACTGACTAGACCTTATGCCTTTGGTGGGGAAAGAAAGACAAATGCTAGATCTCTGATGCAACATATGTATAAAACATTTTTGGAGGATAAGGTATTTTTGGAAGGTTACATTTTCCCGTTCTGGCTTGCTTTTTCTACTCTTCCTTCATTTCTACCTTTGTAGTCTACCCATAGCCTCTGGCTGTTGGGGTCCCCATTGTCTGGAGGCTCAAGTCCAGCTGCTTTCAAAGCCAAGACATTCTTTGCTATTGCAGATGACTCCAGTTCTCTCTGCCCACGTTTCCAACTCCAGGTTATCTTTCCCTTCCCCTCAAATGGGCAATGGGAGGGGGAGTGAGCATGGGATAATAAGCAAGTCTCAACACAAGCTGAGGTCCAGCTGAGAGATAAGATACCAGTCTTTCCTTCTTGATATTTTGGACCCATTCTTGCTTGATATGAACTCTTGGCAACAGCATTGTCCACCTACATTAAGTCAGTGCAGCAAATTCAGATGATTGCCTCATTCATCTTGGTATGGGATTGGTCAATGTGGGGTAAAGAGGAACTGAGAAAGGTAAAGATGTTTAAGTTATGGAGTAGTTGGCTATCACTTGTTTAGGCTATCTTCTGAATTAGTAACCTTGATTGATTATTCTTTGTTCTTACTCTTGGATTCTAATTACCAATCCCTGGACAATGGGAAAAGTCCCACCTGATATTCTATTATGTAAATTTTACCATAGTCTTGCTAATACTTCCATTCTTGGTGTTTACCATCAGTTCCACCATAATGGCTGATATCATACTTTTAAAAGATTAAATAAGTTATATCACTCCCCCAGTTAAGATTCTGCAGTTGCTTTCTCTAAACCACCCCCCCCAAAAAAAACACCCCAAAGTCCTTATTATGGTCTGCAAGGCCCTGTGTGATCTGACCCCAGGTTAAAATTTTGATCACTTGTTCCTGATTCAGAGGTTTGCTCTTCCTATTCCATCTGTCTGCATTATTCTTCCCCCAGGTAGCCTGTGGACTCATTCCACATTATTTGGAAATGATTTCATTCAAATAATGCAACTTCCTTAGTTTTTCTCTGATTTCTCTGTTAAAATAATATGTTTGTCACTCTGTTCCTATAACTGGGATATTTTTTTATTTAGGTGTGAATCATTTTCATACATTATATTATACTAGGCCCAGTGCATGAAATTCGTGCATGGGTAGGGTCCCTATCCGGAGCCTCCCTTCCCCCGGCTGCAGGCCGGGGCCTCCCTTCACACCCGCCTTGGCCTGGCGCTGCCCACACACCTGCTCCACCATCCCACGTTGGGGCCCATTGGGGCCAGCAGCACCTCCGTTGTCCCCCGCTGCCAGCTCCGCATCCCATACACCCGCCATGTTCCGCTCTGCCCCCTGGTGGTCAGTGCACGTCTAACTCCCAGTCGGTTAAACTCCCACCTATAGGGACAATTTGCATATTAGCCTTTATTATATAGAAAATTTAGTAATTTACTTTTTAAAAATATATATATATATATTTTATTGATCTTTCACAGAGAGGAAGGGAGAGGGACAGAGAATCAGAAACATCGATGAGAGAGAAACATCGATCAGCCGCCTAATACACACTCCCTACTAGGGATGTGCCTGCAACCAAGGCACATGTCCTTGACCGGAATCGACCCCAGGACCCTTGAGTCCGCAGACCGACACTCTATCCACTGAGCCAAATCGGTCAGGGCAGTAATTTACTTTTTATCTGTCTCTTTCATTAGCTTCCAAAGGTCAAGTCATTGGCATGTTTGTTCATTCCTTTTTGCTCAGTGCCTAAAATGGGACCTGACCCACTGGAGAAAATTGAGTAAATAAATGGATGAGTGAATGAATGCTAGTTTCTATACTCAAATTTTAGAAATAGCTTTGACTTATCCCATAATTTTTATTCTTTTAGTGTTTTATATAGTGTATATATTTATTTCATTTTAAATAGATCTTTTATTATTCTTAACTATATATTCCCATTGGTTAAATCCCAGTTGAACCACATCTCTAATTCATTTTTCATGTTGCTGCTAAAGTGATTTTTTTAAAATGCTTATCAAAATGCCATCCTTTGAAATAAAATTTTCCTTAGCATAATTGGGCCTATGCCTGTTGTCCTCCTCATTACCCCTGCATATACTCTATATTCTACTCATATCCTTTTTATTGTAGTTACTCTGAATGCTTAATATACTTCTCTCTTCTGTTCCTTCACTTAAAGCTTATTCCCTTTGTTCTTACTGAAGTATATTTTATTAATGTGTGAATACATACAGTGTAACTGCTATCATGAGAAGACTCTACAAAAGGTTCTTTACATTTGAAATGATTGGAAATTAACTATGTAGTTGCATTATATAATATCGTTTCATACATATTACAAATCTTCTATCTCTTCACTGAGTATCATTAATACTTGCTAATATTTCATTGGTCATTTTTTGATGAGTATTTACAGGTTACCACAACCTTGAAGAACACCATATACTGTTTTATAATACTGTTTATAATATTGTGAATTCATCTTAGAGGCAAGGCTAGTCTATATGTTTTAATTCAAGGATTCTTTTTTAAAGGATGTTATCTATGAATATTTCTTGTGTCTTTTACCTTCAGAAAACTAACCTGAAGAGTAAAGAAAATGATTTATAAAAGTAAAGGTGTTACTTGTATAGCCTTTTCAGAAAATGTGATCTATTGATAGATCCTTCAATTTTAGTTTTGTGTGTTTGTATGTATTGTGTGAATGAAAGGAGAGACAGGTAAAGGAAATTAAATTCTTTTATATAAAAAATTGAAGCAAATAAAACAAATGCTTTACTTATCTGTACCTGTTCTGAGTAAGTGCGGCGTCCTACAAGGGATCAGTGGGCTTTTGGGGAAATGTAGACTAGGAGTATGAAGCAGTATTCTAAAATGTGTTTGTAACATTTTGATATGTAAATAATGCAGAAATATATAGCTTATAATATTGGTCTTTTTGAGAAGACACAGCTAAATAAATGTAGAAGCTACAACTCAATAAAAGTAATATGAAGTTATATAGCAGTAAACATAGATGGGACTCTGTAAGAAAGTGTTGGTTGTTTGAGGTAGCTCTTTTGAACAATTATTACTATTACTGATAATAATAGGTTAATTATTGTACCATGTAAGTTGTTGGAACATCCTTGTGTCTGTTACTCATTTTACATAAGAAGAAACAGCCACTCAGAGTTAGACATTTAATAAGTGATTTAATAAGTGATTTACAGTTGGGTGTCTTCATGTCACTTATCAGTAGCCTTTTGAGATTATGACAAAAACTTATGGCCCATTTTCTATAAAAATCTATGAACTTGTATAATATGTCTATATTTTTATATGGAATTTTGCAGAATTCCTGGGTTCCCTAAATTCCATACATGGACCCCAGGTTGAGAATCCCTGATCTATGTCTTCTTTTAATAAAGAGCCTAGGGTACGCTGTACTTTCTTTTTCTTCTACCATCTCTTGTCACTAAAATGAAATATTTATTTATTGTATGCCTTATTCTGATGAGAATTTAAAGAAAGCTGAAATTGTCAGCTATCTTTGACTACATTAAGTATGTGCCAAAATAAATAAAGTCTGTTATGGCAAGTGAGATTGAGAAAAGTTTGACATATAGGACACTTTTTAGTGGTCCAGTTTGTTGGACTTTGCTTAGAGCACCCTCAATCTGTCAGGAACCTAAATGTGTTATTTTGAAGTAAGTAAATAGTTACCTCTTCAAAGTAGTATAAACATAGTGGCTGTGACCCTGAGATAGAAGATTAGAAAGAAAAATAGCTTAGTGATTCAGTGATATTTTTCAGAGAATAATTTGTGAGTTTTATCTTCTGATTACATCAAAGATAAGTAGAAATGGCGTTGTTATAGTAAAAGTAAAATGTAATTATTTTCTGTATTAATGAACTAACTTTATCATACACTAGGTTAACTCATTGTTTGGAAAGATGAAGACTGTATCTAGATTCTAACTCATTGTGACTTTGGAGAAGAGAAGTTGTCATTTTATAATGGGATTACTATAAATCTTCATTATATGAAACTAATATAACCGTTTCTAATTTTTAGGACTAGTTATTTCATTGTGTGTTTTTCACATAAAGTAATTTAGAATTTCAGAATGTTTTTTTCTTTTTTATATATTTAATGTTACATATGATACAATTCTGATATCTCACCTATTTTGATTTTTTCCCTTGAATTGTCATTTAAAACAAAAGCATTAAATTAGCTGAACAGATTAAAGAATCTTATGTATACACTTGCCAGATTTTAGGTAAATTACTATAGAAATAATGATTTAACGTATACAATGTTTAGGCTTAATTTTTTCAGCACAGATGTTTTAACATTGATTTATAGTTATGTTATGAATTGAATAACTGTATTTCTATTTTTTTCTTCAATCATTCTTAACATTCAACTTCTAAATGAATGGTAGCCCATCTGTGTAGGGCTCTTGTGATTGAATGATGTATTCTGTTTTGCAGTGGCACAGTTTTCAGATGGCCACTTTTGTTGTTAAATATTTTCATTTTCTATAGTACTTTTCATCCCTGTATATATGTACAGGAATCACTTCACCCACCACCGAATTGCAGCCACTTCTGAGGTGGAACGCAGCAACTGTTTAACAGCGCACTTTCCCCTAGGTGCTGACAGCTGCAGAAGAAATTGTACATGGTCCTGTACAGAAGGTATTTCTCCACTGTGCCATCTGCAGAGTGAAACTGACTAGGAGTACTACATAGACTGTAAGTTTTTTGTGTACCCACTCTAGACTGGAAAACCCAATAAGAGAGAATAACAAATAACTGGGAAGCACCATTTGAAAATGTATTGAGGTCAGTTAAACTTAGTGCTGCTCTCCTGGCTCTAAATTTTATGCTAAGGTCATCTAATTTGTGATTGGGACTGAACTAAATAATAAACAAATGGATGCACTCCTTGGATATTATTTTATTCTAAAAGCAAATGAAACTCAAATGTTTTTCTAAGTATTACACTTTTATTGAAACTTAGAAGAATGAGTGTGTTTTTTAAATATTTTCAAATAACCAAACCCATATTATATGAGTTTAGAGCTGTGTTCTTAAAGTAGCAAATCAACGTATAAATCAACCGGAGCATCCTAATTAGCTTTGCTTGCTGTGTTTTATGCCTTAGTTTTAATACTTTCACTCTTTGGTGAAATTTTTGCCACAAAAATTTGAACCTAGTTTTTCTTTTCATTCTTTGTTTTGGAAACATGAATTTTGATTTTTTTTAACATATTGAAACAAAGATTGGGAGAGAAGAAATAGTAAATATTTGAACTTCCACTTAATGTATTTCAGTTTCTGTCTTCTATTCAATTATTTAATTATTTTCTTTTTTCCTTTGTAAAAGCAGTTTTACAAGAGTGCTATCTTTAGTAATAGTGTGGCATGTTCATGCCTTAAAGCAGGCGTCCTCAAACTACGGCCCGCGTGCCACATGCGGCCCTCCGAAAACATTTATCCGGCCCGCCGGGTGTTTTTGCCGTCGCTGCTTGTCCTGCTTAGCAGCTGACTCGTCCCGGGCCCGCAGTGCGCATGTGTGGAATGTCTGAGGGACAGTGAACTGGCCCCCTGTTTAAAAAGTTTGAGGACCTCTGCCTTAAAGGATAGGAAAATAACATTAGAAAGTGTGTCTCTTGTTAAATAATATGATATGGATTGTTACATTGTTTTGCCTTTTTTAGCCAATAGTATAATGTACTAGTTATCAATTGTTTTTTTAATTAATTTGTGTATCCATAGACATTTCTATGACAAGAAATTAGGGTCTTAGTATTTACAGTCTTAGTCATATGAAAGTGTCATTTGTTTTAGCTAATCTAAATTATATGTCATAAGTTAAATGATATTTGTATATATTTCTATACCTATAGATTCTCAATGAAAGCAGATAAAAGCCTCTCTGGGCCACAGTTTACATACTTGTAAAATGAGGTGGGTGGAAGAAATTATTTTCTAGAGACCCTTTCTATAAGTGTTTTCTGTTCAATTCAGGGGTATAATTCTGTGTGTTTGGAATTGTACTTTACATTATGTAACCAAGATATTTTGGTGTAAGTGGTTCTGTTGAGTTAGAATATTATTTGCATTAATTAAATGGCAAGTGATAGAATTTTGGAGTCAAAAGAAGAGATCTGACTTCCTACAAAGATTTTCAACTATTTCTAATTTTGTAGTGGCATTGTCCCCACTCTTGATTTTTTTTGAGATTAAATAAAGTACAATTCTCAATATCTTGTTTATCATAGAAATATCAGATAAATTAGAAAAACTAGCCTTTATTTATACTCAGAGTAGAATGTAGGTAAATATTACCAAAAAAAAATTAATGCGTTTTCCCCTTTGCATAGACTTAATACTTCATTCAGTAGTAAAAGCACTAAAGAAGTAAACTTAGTATTTGAAAGAATGTAATCTAGATATAATATAGTGTACCTATGTATCTCTAGTAAGAGGGTATTTTATGAATTAAATATGAAATATTTAACTTTCTATAATTGGTTCCTTTGCATTTTCTGCAAACAGTGTAATTGTAAGTATTGCGGAATTCCATTCGTTTTATTAACCAAAGTAATCACACTTAACAGAATAGAGCAAATGTTTTTTATGGTTTTTAAAAATATTTTAGTGAAAAGATACAAACTCTGCCTATTGTGCATATCTGAGTATATATTTTTCAATTATTCAAGGTATTTAATTATTATATATTAGACCTTCTGTGGATGATGTACATTTCACAACTTATTGTATTCTATTTTTTTAAATATATTTTATTGATTTTTTTACAGAGAGGAAGGGAGAGGGATAGAGAGTTAGAAACATCGATGAGAGAGAAACATTGATCAGCTGCCTCCTGCATACCCCCCACTGGGGATGTGCCCACAACCAAGGCACTTGGAAACTTTCATTTTAATGGAATATACTGGTATATTATTTGAATTTAATATACATGTACTATTTGTATACCCCAAAATAAAGGAAAATGTTGGTTTTTAGTTAAATTGTATGTTTGGAACATTTACGTATTTTATTTAGAAATTACCCTCATTGCATAAAATATAGAAACCTAATATCTTCTTTAGATTGTTTTTCAAGGGAGGGCTCTTCATCTTATTCTAAGGAACAGACTTATAGTCAGGCTTATAATTAAACTTACTTTACTTACAATTTTGGAATTCAGAAATAATTACTAGATCAAGAGTAAATAATCTTAATGAAACCTTATTTTTCACCCTCCCTCATTATAATTTTCTATTTGAAATATAAAAAAATAACCAAATGCATACATGGTAATATAAATTTTAAATACTTAATGATATGTACTTTGACCTCTATATAATGTTTTGACAACTTCTAGCTTTCAATAATAGGCTTTACAAATAATTATTTTGGACCAACTGAAGAAATAATGAAAATGATGAGAAAATAAAAAGACATAATGAAATATATTTTGAGTATAGATTTTATACAATTTAAACTAATTTGAAAAACATACATTTTTAAATGGATATTTTAAAATTCTCAGATATTCTCAGTTTTACAAAATATGTAATCTATTTTTTAAATTAGGGGCATATTTTTATATTTATCCCAATAATATTTTTTAAAATTGTCTTACCAAATTTGTGTGAACAAATTCTTATGATTTGATAAGGATATGAAAATTTTCAGGTGTTTTATTGTGAATAACAGGCAGATGATTTTGCAATTTAACATTAGGTGAACAGTTCTTTTTATACTAAATTGTTTATATTTGAGTATCTTCACTTAAACTTAGGATTCAGGCATTATTTTTTATAATTCAAAATACAAACTAAGTCCATAGAACAATATGTGCAGTTTGAATTTATATATTTTAGAAATAAATGTGAAAAGGTTCTTGCCTTCCAGATAACCTCAGGCAGATATATGAAGGTAAAATACTATATAATAATTTCATTTTTTGCTAATTTTATCTTATATAGCAGTTAATTCCTGCCTATTTTTATGAATTCTGCAGTTATTTATCAATATAAATTGAATTAGTTGAAAATTTTAAATGTTTGTTTGCGTCAAGAACTTTTGATGCCACAAATCTTTTTTATCTTTAATTCTGAATTAATAAGCATTATTACTTAAAAATTTACCTTTAAGGCTGAAATTTCTCTGTGTTATGGGTAAAGTAAGTGTGTGTGTGTGTTTGTGTGTGTGTCATCTTCCTAATGTATTTTCTGATTTAGAATCCTGGCTGCCTCTTTGTAGCTGTTTAATTAAGTGTAAATGTTTCACAACTTTAAGGGTTTTTCTTATCTGTTAATTGTGAATTATTATACCTACCTCACAGGGTTGTTGTGAGGAAAAAACAATGTGAAAGAGTGCTTAGTCTATACCAATATGTTAGTATATGAAAAATTAGTATTGTCCTTAAGATAAAAATCCAAATTTCCTAATTAGACATGTGATCTGGCTCCTCCTTATGTCCCCATCTTCATTTCATTTCTTTCCTTGCAAACTGCATGTATTTATTGGTTGATACTAAACTTGTTGCAGTTTCCGGAATATGTTATGCTTTCTTTGGGCCTTTGTCTTCCTTCATCACTTACACACCCATCCATCCCTGGGGTTCTATCATCTCTATAACTCAACCTCTTCCCTCAGGTTTCACTTTAGATTTCTTCTTAAAGTGTTTCCTATGCCTTCTTCTCCAATATACTTTTGTTAGATTACCCTTCTACTTAATCCTGTTGTGTTTGCTTACTCCTATTCTGGTAGTTATCGCATGCGATGTAACTGCCTTTGCATGTGTCCTTTGTAAATATTTTGAGGTTGAAGTCTGCCTTTAACTTCTTTTCCCCAGTACTTAACAGAGTTCCTGCAACTCAGAAAATGAATTAATATTTTATAAATAGATGTAGGTTCCCCCTAAATGAACTAAAAACATATAATTATATAATTAGTACTCTTTTAAAAATAACTTTAATTCTCCTATATTTATAGAATAGATTTCAAACTCAATAATCATATCAAAATGTGGCTTTGTAATCAGACTGCTTTGCCCACCATTTACTACTCTTACGGGATTTGTTAAAAGAGATGAGCTCACTCGTGTGTAAGCAGAAGTTTACTATTATTTCCTGTCACTTGTACCTGAAATACCAATCTAAATATTATTTTCTGCTCTTTGATAAAAGCTGTTCAAGTGTCTTTATCTCTTCTGGATTCTTTATCTTACTTGTCTGGGTTTAGCAAAGACTCCCACGGTTTGGGGATAGCCCAGTTGTAATTCCTTGATGTAATGGTTACTTTGTCTTCTTTTGATTATCCTCAGTAGTCTCTGACTTTCTGGTTTACCTCCAGCCTCTTTCTTCTGGGGTTATCTTGTTCCTTTTGTAGTCCTCTGAGTAGAGTTCCCTTAAAAATGTCCCAGTGCTATTTCCCCCCCTAGGGGGTTCTTATCTGTCCCGTGGGAAAGTAACTCCACAGACTCTGGAATGGAGCTTCTGGACATTTCTCAGCCCAGGGTGAGGTCATCTTGCCTTCTAGTCTTAAGATTTTCTTCAGGCCAAGTCCAGTTTTTATACCAATCTTTTAGTGTTCTGTAAAAAACAACAACACAAAAGTCCAAACTCTGAGTGAATCACTGTTCTATTTCTTCCTCACACAAATATAAGTTCCCTTTCTCCAATATATGCTTACATTTTTTATATGAGTGATAGACTAAAGGATGCCTGACCCAG